AGGGGATGAGGCCAAGGTGCTGTTGCAGCTGGGAAGGCTCCCCTCCTCCCTCCCCAGCCTTCTGCAGGGGCTGCTCTTTTTTTTTTTTTTTTTTTTTTTTGTGATTTCCCCTCCCTGCAGTGGCAGATTTTGTGCATTATCCAGGAAAGCAGAGCGATGTGTTCCTCGGTGTAAACACTGAGATGCTGTTTCCATCCATCAGAGCAGCACTTAAATGGAGATGACAATGGAGCTCGCACAGCCCTAATCATACACTTTGATTGAAGTAAGAGTACGGGGGAAAATGGAACTTGGATGCCTGGAGCCCAGCTTCCATGGAGCCAGGATGGTGGAGCAGCAGAGCTGTCCGTGGGGCTGCCACCGGCTCGGGGGTGGCTCTTTGGGCTGACCCTAATTACAGCCTTCCAGTGCCTGAAAGGAGCCTGCAAGAAGATGGCGAGAGACTATTTACAGGGGCCTGGAGTCACAGGACAAGGTGCAATGATTTCACATTGACAGAGATCATTTTAGCCCTCTGTCTCAGCACTGCAGTAGTAGGGAGGGCTGGTTGTTGGCTTTGCTGTCAGAAGAAAACCTCTTTACTGTGTTCATCTCTCAAGCTGATGTCCTTTTTATGCCTTATATCCTCAGCAGAAGGTTCAGCAGTGGCAGGTCTGGCCGTGCACAGTGAGGGGGTTTGTGAAGCAAACGCACCTCGGGATCCACAACCGCACTTGTTAGTTTGGTGATGATGCGGCGGCTCCTCCACCGTCACTCCTAAGGACGGACCTTTAAAAAAGCAAAGGCCAATTATATAGATTCGGAGTCGGTAATGAGCCTAAAACTGTTTGATCATTTCGGCTCCCGCTGGGCGAGTGAGAAGTGGATGAGCTGCTGCAGGGACCCGCCAGCCCGAGAAGCGCGGGGCTCTGCTGCCTCTTTGTGGCGAAGGAAGTGCCACCACCGTGTGCCCTCAGTGCTGCCTGGGGAGTGTCACCACCGTGTGCCCTCAGTGCTGCCTGGGGAGTGTCACCACCGTGTGCCCTCTGTGCTGCCTGGGATGGAGCGAGAGGCTCCTGCGGGCTGCAGGGCAGGCTGGGCCCGCATCGGCATGGGACACACAGGGTCCAGAGCCAGCTCAGGAGGCAAAACCCGGGCACTGAGGCTGGGAAGATTCTGGATTCTGGCGCTCAGAGGTGAAATTGTAGTTTTCCAAGGAAAACCTGAAACAATTGAAAGCAACAAAATTATGGAAATGGAGCGGAAATTTTGGCAGGTGGTTGTCATGGGTGGGCAGGGATAGATCCTTCCTTTCTGCACAAGAGACTCCAGCTGTCCTCTGCCAGGACATTTAATGGCCTTAATGCCCTGTGCCATGTTCCTGAGCACACCGACTTCCATCGGCTCTCAGGAAGCAGCAGTGTGGGACACACCTTACAGGGCTGCCAGGCAGTGACTGCCAGGGACATCACCTCACACTGCACTCCTTTGGGGCTCTCAGCTACTGTGAAGCCAGGGATGTGCACTATAATCCCAGGAATTGCTATTAATTGTGATCACTCATGCAGGTGGTGGGACCAGGGGGCTGCTGGGGAAATCTCAGCAGTGAGTTATTATGGAAAAGGCAAGGCTCAGCAGGAAACTGGAGAGCTAGTGTAAGTCCTACTGCTGAATGTGTCCGGCTGGAACCTGGAGCAAAGGACACAGGAAGGACAAACAAACTGAAAGTACAACAGGGGCCGTGCCACGTGGATGGGAGGAGCAGGGAGCAGAGCTGGCTCTTGGCAGGATGGACGCACCAGTGGTCTTCACGGAGGCAGAGTTTTACCAGCAGAGTTTCGACCCTCAGGCATATCTGAAAGAATATTACAGAATGAGTGACAGCCAGGGAGGGGCAAACTTGTTTCTGATGCAAAACTTGAGGAACCTGCACAAGATATTCTCCTTAGGTGAGCACTCCCGAGGTGTTCGGAGCCGCTGGACGGTGCCATTTGCAGGGCTGCCCTTGGGCTGCCCATGGCAGAGCACATGTCCCAGCATGGAGCAAACCCTGTGATTCACTGACACACTCCTACTCTGTTAAAAATATCCCTCTGCCTGCATGCATGTGTCTGTGCATGCAGGGAATTGCAGCTGGGGCTGTGCCTGTTTCTGGGAACACCATCAAATCCAGCCGGGGCACGGGGGCGTGGGGTCAGTGCCTCTGCCCCAGGAGCTGGCACTGTTCCTGCCACAGGCTCTGGACCTGCTGCAGGTCTTGCTTCTGGGCTGGACTGTGGCCAGAGAGCCACAGGGGCTGCACTGTGGGTCTGTGGCACGCGGGGTCACATTTCTGGGTTATGGGGAGCACAGTCCGAGGGGCTCTGGGAGGTGTCTGCCCTGGGGGAGGCTCCATCCTCACTGGGATGGTTTTGCCCTTGACTCTGCGCCAGACGGGCTGAGAGGTGACACCCTGATAGATGTCGGCTGTGGCCCCACCATCTACCAGCTTCTGTCTGCTTGTGAGCACTTCCATGAGATCATCTCCCTGGACTACACCGACCGGAACCGCCGGGAGCTGGAGAGGTGGCTGAGGAACGAAGAGGGAGCCTTTGACTGGGTGCCAGTGGTGAAATACGTCTGTGAGCTGGAAGGGGACAGGTGAGGCTGTGTCCTACCACCGTGGCCATGGAGCCACAGGCACAGCTGTTAAACAACCACAGAACCTTCCTCTACTTATTTGTGCATTTCCTTGCCAGGGAGAAGTGGGCTGAGAAACAGGAGAAAGTGAGGAAGAAAGTGAAGCAGGTTCTGAAGTGCGACGTGACCAAAGCCAACCCCACAGGCCCCGTGTCCCTGCCACCAGCTGACTGTATTGTCTCCAGCCTGTGCCTGGAGGGAGCCTGCAAGGACCTGCCCACCTTCCGCAGCGCCCTGAGGAACATCGGGACCCTCGTGAAGCCAGGGGGGCACCTGGTGCTGGCGACCGTCCTTGGGGAAACCTACTACGCCTTCAACAAGCAGGTTTTCTCCTGCCTCTGCCTGGAGAAACACGAGGTGGAGGCAGCTGTGGAGGCTGCTGGCTTTGAGGTGACATTCAGCGAGGCACAGCCGTACGCGGTGAATGACGAGCGCACGGACTGCCAGGGTCTGCTCGGCCTGGTGGCACGCAGGTGTCCCTCCACATAGTGTGAGGGCACTGGGGGGGGAACAGCCGTGAGTCTGGGCTCAAAAAGTCCTGCTGGTGTAACCCAGCCCTTTATCTGGCACCAAATAAACTCCTGAGTGCTCTAACCGTGGGTTTGCGTGGCATACATGGCACCAGCACTCCAGCAGCCCAGGCTTGGGATAACCGTGCTGGCTCCCCCCAGCCCAGGGACAGGGATGGTGTCCCATCCCTTCCCTGCCATCCTCCCAGGCCATCACAGAGCTTCTGAGAGGCTTCCCCCTCTCAGTCATGATGTGCTTTTTGGAGAGAAAAACCCATTCCTCTGGGAAAAATGTTTGGCCACAAAGGCAGTGAACTTGTCCCACCCAGAACCATTTGTGGGCGAGCCCTGCAGGCTCCCTCTGAGAAGCTCTGGGGAGAAAGGACTCTGGAGGGCAGCAGCAGGCCCTGCGCTCACCCAACCCCCAGCAGAGCTGAGGGCACGTGCTCATCCTTGCAGCACACCTGTAAAACCCAGCTGTCTGCCCCAGCGCCGCTCCCCTGAAGAGCTGGAGGATGCCAACACAACAGGACTGACGTGAGCTGAGGCCCTGGCACGTGTGCAGTGTGTACCTCCCTCCCTGACACCCCAAGTGCCCCCCAATCGTGTTGGTCCTGCACCCTCCCGGTGCCTGATCTCATTGCTGGGCCCCCCTCCCACCAGCCCTTCAAAGAGCAAAGAGGGCACAAAACAGTGGCACAAAAAGCACAAGAGAATTCCAAAAGCGAGTCTTGTGAAGCAGCTGAAGTGGTTCCTGTTCTCTGAGCCTGGCAAGACCTGCACGTGGAACGAGCCCGGATGGCACACGAGCATCACACGCTCCCAGCCGAGCCCGAGGGGAGCTGGGGAGGGGAGAGAAGGCACAGCAAGGCAAACGAGGCTCCAGGGAAATTAAGGCAAAGTGGAAGTCCTGGCAAAGCGAGGTAATAACTCCCTTTCTGAACGAGTGGCTGTTTGGGATTTAACCAGGCGGACGTGATTAATCCAAATGGATATAAATTCTGGGTGCGGTGGCGAGTAATGGGGTGGAGAGAATGAACGGCACCCAATTAACGGGGAAAGCAGAGCTGCGCCGGGACCTAATGAGAAATGAAGGCTCAACTGCCCCCTCCCGAAATTCCTCCAGATGGAAAACGCCCGTTTTACATCCCGCGTCTTCTGGGATTCCCAGGGGATTACAGTGGCTGGGGAGATCCAAGGGCAGGGGCAGGGGAGCCGCTTTCCAGAGTCCTTGGAGAAGTGAAGTCACCGGGAAGGGCGCTCTGACAGGATCCAGCAATGAGAGCAGCTGGGCTCGGGGGGAGAGAGGGGTCAGGAGCCCGGGACACCCACTGTTCCACCACAGCCCTGCCGCCATCCAGGGCCTCCAAACAGCCCGTTCTGGGGTTTTTAACCCGCGCCCCGGGTTTTAACCGGCTGGCTCCGACCCCCTTGGTTTCCCAACAGGAATAACAGGGGCACGGGGAAGGCCTGGCACCAATCGCGCGGTGTCCCGGCCACAGCTCCGTTCCCAATTCCCATTCCCATTCCCAATTCCTGTTCCCGTTCCCATTCCCGTTCCGAATTCCCATTCCCATTCCCGTTCCGAATTCCCATTCTCAATTCCCGTTCCCAATTCCCATTCCCGTTCCCAATTCCCATTCTCAATTCCCGTTCCCAATTCCCATTCCCGTTCCGAATTCCCATTCCCGTTCCCAATTCCCGTTCCCAATTCCCATTCCCAATTCCCGTTCCCAATTCCCGTTCCCGTTCCCAATTCCCATTCCCGTTTCCCTCCCCGCGCCCCGGAAGGGCCGGACGCGCACGCGCGGTGACGTCACGCCGTCGCGCACGCGGAGAGCGGCCGCCGGACAGCGCGCGCTCGGGCGGGCCCAGGCGCGGCCATGGGGGCGGCGGCGGCCGAGGCGAACCGGACGCTCTTCGTGGGTAACCTGGACCCCAAGGTCACCGAGGAGCTCATCTTCGAGCTCTTCCACCAGGTACCGCCCGGACTCCGCGCTGGCTTCGCTGGGGACGGCGCGGGCGGGGCGGGGAGGCCTCGGCCGCTAGAGCGCGTTGGGGGGGGGGGCTGGGCTACGGCGGCCGCCGCGGGACATATTTCGGCAGCGGTCCCGTTCCCCCCCGGTGTTTGTTTAACGCCTTCCGTCCCGGTGCTAGGCGGGGCCCGTGATCACCGTGAAGATCCCCAAGGACCGGGATGGACGACCCAAGCAGTTCGCCTTCGTCAATTTCAAGCACGAGGAGTCGGTGCCGTACGGGCTGCAGCTGCTCAACGGGATCAAGCTGTACGGGCGGCCCATGCGCATCCAGTTCCGATCAGGTACCCGCGGAGGGGCCGCAAATCACCATTTTCCTCGAGGGAAGGTGAACTGCCCTCAGCTGCTCCCCAGCCTCCAATGGATTCGTGCTTCATGGGGCATATTCATGTACCTCTCACCCAGGAGCTCCTCACCTGCCCGCTCTCCTCTCCTGATGCTCCTGTCCCAGTGCTTCCACCAGGGACCGTCTGTCCCTCGTGGCCGGTGTAACCCCCTTGGCTGAGCCTTCTCCTTGGGTTGTTATTGATTATTCCTTCTGTACCCTTGAGATCTGTTCTAAATTATCACACGAGCACTAGAAGTCACATCTGGTGGTGGTTAAATGAGGCACAGGGTCCCAATATCATTGCCCGTTCCTGATGGGAGTTGTTTTGGAGACTGGGCCCATGTGCCTTCGCAGATCTCTTACAAAACTTGAGAGCAAATGAAGCTTGTGAAAGCTGTTGGTGTCCCTTACACCCGAGTTCCTCTCACTAGTGTTTGTGCCTTCCCAGGGAGCAGTCATGCAGCCCAGGACACCAGTCCATCCTGTTTGCCGCTCGGAGCTGTTGGTGCCATCTCTCCTGGAATGCCACATCCAGCCTCCAACTGCAGCAGGTACAAGTCCCACCAGCACAGGAACTTGGAGTGGAGAGTGGCATTGCACAGCTTGTTGGCTCCAGTCTCTCTTCTCCAGGGCACTGTGGTCTGTCTTTCCTAGGCAGGGAACACAGCCGGGATGCAGGCGCCCCTTGGACTGCAGCAGTTGTGTATGTAATGCTGGAACCCCTGCTCTGTTTTCCCTGCAGATACGAGAGGGTTCCTGAGGGCGCCACCGCCGCGGGGTTCCCGCCGAGCCTGCAGAGACAAGCAGTGGTACGTCCATGGCACACGCTCAGGGCAGCACGGGGTGGAGCTGCCTCCCCTTTTTGGAGTCCTTGTTTCCTGTCGTGATTGGGAGAGGTTGTGGGAATATTCTTTTGGAGCCCCAAAAGGACAATTCCAGAAGATCTGAAGCTCCTGGTACCCAGGGTGTCAGTTAGGAGGGCTCTGAACTGTGGGAGCTCAGCTGTGGGTGAAGCAGTAGGCAAGGGCTATTCCATAAATTCCCATTCAGTCTCATTCGCCAATCAACCCGTTCCATTCTCCTGGTATTTACAGTGTGATCTGGAGGCCACCAAGGGTTTAGGTTTCTCTCTGCCCCTTCAAGCACCAAACTCACCCTCCCTTTCCCCTCTTCCCCTCCAGATGAACAGCATGGCGCGGCAGCAGCCCCAGTTCGGCGGCAAGTACGAGCAGCCCGGCTTCGCCCCTCCCGGCTACCCCCCTGCCTTCCACGCCCCGCCGCCGGGCTCCCCGATGTCGCGGCGCACCGAGGGGCCGGCACTGCGCAAGGGCCGGCTGGGGGCCCACCCCTACCCGCCGGACAGCCGGCACTTCGGCCGCGAGCGCTTCGGCCCCGACTACGGCCGCGGCAAGCGGGACGACTACGGCTTCGATGAGAGGGGCCACGACGCCGAGCACCACTACCGGGGCAGCCGGGACGAGCCCTATGGCGACAGGCACCGCGACGGCTGGAGCCACGACTACGACCACCGCAGGGAGAGCTACAGGGAGGCCAAGTGGCACCCGGCACGGCACTGACGGACTCTGAGGGCAAAGCAAACGTGACCCGTTTCTTACTGAGTACTTGTATAAAACTCCTTTCCCCGCAAAAAAAAACCCAGTGACCTTTTAGTGTTTGTAAAAATACCAGCAGCACAGTCCTGCCAAACTCTGGTCTCAGTTTTAAATGTGTTAACTCACACCTCAGGGCTTATCAGGGGAAACGGAAAAATGCTGTAATGGGAGTTTTTGAGAAACCATGGCTGTCAGTACTTTTGGAGGAGGAAGAGGCTGTCTTTGTCAGATGGGCAGGTCCAGCCTTTAAAGCAGAATAGAGGTGGGACAGATGCTGCCTGGTGTCTGCAATATTCCTCATGGCATTTCTGATACAGAATCAGAATCACAGAATGGTCTGGGTTGGAAGGGACCTTAAAGCTCATCTCATTCCAACCCCCTGCTGTGGGCAAGAACACGTTCCACTAGGCCAGGCTGGCCCAAGCCCCAACCAACCTGGCATTGAACACTTCCAGGGATGAGGCATCCACAACATTGCTGTGCAACCTGTTCCAGCGCCTCACCCTCACAGTAATGAACTTTTTTCCAATATGTCATCTAAACCTACTCTTTCCATTTGAACCCATTGCCTCATGTCCCCTTTGAATATTCCAATATTGCCTTGGAGAAGAGCATTAAAATCTCCCAGGGGAAAGCCGGCGGGTGAAGCCCCTCCTTGGGGACGGGGGGTGCTGCCCCGCTCCGCGGCCCCGGGGCGGGGAGGAGCGCTCCGGGCTCCCCGTTTCACCCCGGGACTACATCTCCCAGCAGCCCCCGCGGCGAGCCCACAGCCCGGGGGAGCGCGGGCGGCGGCGCGGGGACTGCCGGGAGCTGTAGTCCGGCGGCGATGCTGGGCGGCGGCCGCGCCGGCCTGGGCCGCCTGCGGAGCTGCGCCGGGCGGCTGTGGCAGGGCCGGCGGCGGGCGGCGGCCATGGCCGGCGGCGACATGGGGCAGCGCATGGTCTGGGTGGACCTGGAGGTGCGGGGCGGCGGCGCGGGGCGGCGGGGGGCGCGGGGAGGGCGGGAAAGGGGGGCGCGGGCCCCCCGGGCGCGCTGACGCGGCCGCTCGCCCCGTGGCAGATGACGGGCCTGGACGTGGAGAAGGACCAGATCCTGGAGATGGCGTGTCTGATCACCGACTGCGACCTCAACGTGCTGGCCGAGGTGAGGGGCGGGACGGGCCTGCCGGGCCCCGCGCCGCTTCAGGGGCTGCGGGAACAAAGCGGGCGGGCAGCGGGGGATCCCCATCCCGCCGCCCCGCACCGGGAGCGCGGGGACGGGACCTGCGTCACTGCACTTCGTGTCTCGGGGCTGAAACCGCGCCGTGCTCTGCTTGTGCTTGCCACTAAACTTTTAGCCGCTTCTAAACTTTTTTTCCATTACCTTTTTTTTCCCCATGTTTTTTTTTCCAGGGCCCGAACCTGATTATCAACCAGCCCGACGAGCTGCTGGAGAGCATGTCCGAGTGGTGCAAGGAGCATCACGGGAAGGTAAAGACCCTTCTCTGCCTTTGCCAGATGAGAATGACGTGTAATTCGGAGCGATCAGCTGCAGCACGGCCCACTTAGCAGGGACAACTCCTGCGCTGAGGAGTTTGCAGTCAAAGGGGATGGAGGACGGGAAGCATTATCCTAATTTCGTAGCAGGGAGCCGACATTTTGCCCAAGGTGTCCCAAGTGATCTGTGGCACAGAGCAAGCTGCACTCAGGAATCTTTAACCTTCATCTTCCAGCTTGCCTAGAGCAGCCTGTGCTTTGTAGCCTGGTTTTTAATAAGTTGGAATAGTGCTGGAAGCTACTTCCTTGAGATCAGGAAGCATCAGCACCACCCAGCAGCCCTGAGAGGGCTGGAGCAGGCAGGGGAGCCCGGAAGGGGATCTGTTGCTCAGGGATGTGCTGCTGGCTCCTGTCCCCCAAGGTGTGGCCTCAGCCGCCTCCTCCCACTGTGAGGTTGGGAATTGGGGTTTGGCTCCCCGGTCCTCTTGTGGAGCTGATCCCTTTTGCTGCCTCTGCGGGAGCCCCGGCGTAGGCTGGGTTGGGTGGGCTCCTCCAGTAGCTCCTCCCAGTGAATCCTCTTCTGTCTTACATAAAATAATTCAAAGACTAATTCCAGATGAGAAGGGGAGGTTGAGGCTTGAAGGCCCAAGTAAGAACAGGTGCAGGATCAGTGCAGAACAGTCCAGAGCTGATGAAATGCAGATTTCTCCATGCAGATTTTGGTATATGTGGGATTAAACAGGCCTGTAAACACTGGGCTGTTATTTTTGCCTGTCCCCTCAGCACTGGGAACCTTGTGCATTTTTTAACTTTGCTTTTGCAGCAAGAGATTATTTTTAGTTCTTTGGGCCACCAAAGAAAGGTTCCTCCTTGCCAGCAGCAAGAGAGCAAATGGATTTTCTAATCCCTGATGGGTGAATTGAAATTCAAGTTAGTTTTCAATTAAGGGCTGAAGTTTTAAGACACCCATATCCCCACTTTCTCCCCCCTTCGGCATCTCACTCTCTGTGGGAAGGATTACCAGGAGTTTGGAAAATGAATATTAATTTACTGTGATGGGTGCTTTTCCCTGATCCAGTTGAGGATTCCAGCTCAGCTTCAGCTTGGGAGTGAATTGGAGATGGTAACACGTGTCCTCATTGCTCCTGAGGAGCTACTTATTTTTAATTGACTAAGAGAAGAGAAGCAATTAGAATATAGATGAAAATGCAGCCACATAATGAATTTTTTAACCACCACTTGGATCTGTCAAGTAGATTTTTGCAGCACAGCCGTGGAAATATATAGTGTAGCCAGATGGAAATAAATCACTGAGAACATTTGGAGAGGATTTGACATTTAACTATTGAAAAAAAAAGAAGGGAGGAATTTTTCTGATTTATAGGAATCTTGATAAACACTTAAGGCGGGATCCTGGTTGCTTGTGTTCACTGATACCTGCTGCTCTCTGCTGGGGAGGTGAGTGCCTCTCATGAAACAGTGATGTAAAGGCATGTAATGCTCTCCTGGGTCATAGACAGACAGGTGGATAAATGAGACCTCACGTCTTGGTAATTGAGAAGAGCCCCGAGAAAGTAGGCAAAGAAATAAAAAGAAAGGGAAAGAAAAAGCCCAACCCTCACAGGAAGGTCAGTGCTGCCAGGACTATATACCTGCCTTGGTTTTACTTGCCAAGTAGGAGGTTCCTTTGGAGAATTGAGGCTGGGGGTGTCCCAGAGAACTGAACACAGTTCAGGAATCACCTGGGAAACAAACTGCACTCAAAGGGTTGACCTTTTGCTGTAGAGTTAAACATTTACTTGAGAACTGGAGCATTCCTGACAGTGTCTGTGGCAGGGTGTTTCTGATTTATGACTTGGCTCTTTTTTGCAGTCTGGCCTTACTAAGGCTGTGAAGGAGAGTAAAATCTCATTGCAGCAAGCAGAGTACGAGTTCCTGTCCTTCGTGCGGCAGCAGACACCCCCGGGGCTCTGTCCTCTCGCAGGTGAAGCATCTTCTTTCTTAACAGCAACAGCTTCATCCCTCCTGCACTCCCATCTGGATGCAAACACCTGCCCATGCATGTTGTAGGGATGTGCTTGTGTTCTATGCTGCATCTTTTCCTCACTGGATATCCAGCCAAAGGCCAAATACGGATTTTCCAGGTGTCCTGCTACCTGTAACTGTGTTCCGAATGTTCACATACAGTCTTTGGATGAGTGCTGAGTGAAATTAATACCAATTGCCACTTTCACTCGGTGGAAAGCTCGATGTTCACACGATTCTTTGATATTTATCTGTGTGACAGAAATTGTGGAAGTACTTACAGAGGAATTACTAGGGGTATTAGTATTTAAACCCCGTGTGATCCTGCAATGAAATCTGACAAACCTCTACAATCATATTTACTAGAAAATGGGATAAATGAGCTGCTTGTGAATGGCTTTTCCTCCCCTGTGATCTCTCCCAGCTCGCTTATCCTGCCGCTTGTTTCCATGTCGCTCTGTAGCGTCTTTGAAGAAACATCTTGTTTTGTGTCTTTGTAGGAAACTCTGTTCATGCAGATAAGAAATTCCTTGACAAATACATGCCGCAGTTCATGAGGCACCTTCATTACAGGATCGTTGATGTGAGCACTGTCAAGGAACTTTGCAGGTAAGTGTTCCCCCAATTAAGTGGTTTGAAGGATGCCCTGGGGATGCCTGTTTGTGATGCTGGGGCTCTGCAGTTCGTAGCAGGAGGACTCGCAGAGTTGTGGCTTCTCTGGGTGTCAGTGGAACCAAAATTCTTTCACCCTGTGTAACAAACCTGCAAGCAGCCAGCAGACATGGTTTTGAAGCCCAGTTTCCTTTTTCATTTTTCCACTTGCAGACGCTGGTATCCAGAGGAGTATGAGTTTGCACCAAAGAAGGCAGCTTCTCACAGGTGAGCTTTGTGCTCCAGGCTCTTCTGGAGCAGGATGTGGGGCTCCCTGTGTCAGCATCCCGAGTCTGATGCAGGTAGAGGCTATGTGCTTCTGCTGACATTTGTATCCTCCTGTCTGAAGCCTGGCTAGAGTAGGGAAAGGGATAATTAAAGTCCAGAGACCCAGGAGTTTCCTCATCCCTTCAGTCACTTAAAGGGGGTTTATCTGCCCTTGTTTTGAGGCAGAGATGGTCACAGGGACAGTACAACTGGAGAACTGCAAATGGGGAGGTGAGAGTCTGATAGCCGTGCACATCAGTTTGGTTTCCTGCAGCCTGGAAGTTTTCAGTGGTGGTGGGATCCAGGTGTAGCTGGAGGTGCACACAGGCGCATTGAAACCCTCCTTAATTTCTTTTTCAGAGCGCTCGATGACATCAGGGAAAGCATCAAAGAACTCCAGTTCTACAGAGACCACATCTTCAAGAGGAAAACGGATGAGAAGAAAAGGAAACTGATCGAGAACGGGGAGAGCGATAAAGCTGCCAGCTGATTTCCCCTCCTCCCACACCGCCCCTAGCACACACTAGATGCATCTCCTGGTTCTTTTCTGTTTGCCAGTCTCTCGGGAAGCTGCACCCTGGGTTACCTTGTTTCTTACCAGCTGTTCAATGCAGACGGAAGCCTGAGTTGCTGCTGCTTTTCAGTTTGAGCGGGAAGTCGACATGCTGGGCCTCAGCAGCGCCTGGGTTCGGATGTTCTAGGTAAAACACGCTGTTTGATACTCCTTGCACCTGGTTTTAGGTGCAGTCTTTCACGACACAATAAAACAGGTCTGTTGAAAGATGGTGGTTTTGGACAGCCTTTATTTGGTGCTCGCCATACAGCCAGGTGAAACAGCTGCTCATGGGTTTGGAGAGGAAAACACTGGGAAATTACTGTCATTCCACTGGAGAATCCACTGGTGTGGGTGCCAGTCCTTCACGGGCATTTAACAAGAGTGGGTTGGTCAGCCTGGAGGAGACTGAGGGGAGATCTCCTTGGGGTCTGCAGCTTCCAAAGGAAGGGCAATGCTCTCAGGCACACGGTGGGATCTTTGGGGTTATCCTGTGCAGGACCAGGAGTTGGACTTGATGGTCCTTGTGGGTCCCTTCCAACTCAGGATATTCCATGA